GATTCTTTCTAACACACTCTCTAAAGGACACTGAGATAGCCTCTGCTAGAAAGACCCCCCTCCATGGCCCATTAGCCCTCAATTGTAGTCTTTACTGGGGCCTCGAAGGGATTATTGCACTTTTGTTCCTTGTGTCTAAAGATTGTGTAGGGTGTGGCGGAAGCGGTGCATGGAGGCGGGACAAGGGTGGCTCTTGCTGCGGAGTATGGGTGGGGCCTGTAAGGGGGCCCTTGATTTATTTTGCCCAGGGGCCCTGAGGGTTCTCAGTCCACCCCTGGGTGGTTAATTTGTGTTTAAGGGCCACTGCGTCCCAGGCCCGAAGGGAGTTTAGGATAGCTGGGAAATTAGTGCGTAGGATGGCCCTATGTTCCCTTGGTAGCCAAATGTAGAATTGGGGCAGGTCAGCTCCCGTTATGCCGGATTCTATGTCAGCCCATCTGCGGTCGCCCGGTGTCGAGTGCCACATGGCGATTTGTGCCAATTGGGCCGCCAGATAGTAGTTGTAGAGGTGGGGCAGACCTAGCCCTCCTCCGTCTTTGGGCCTATACAATACGTTGTGTGAAACTCTGTGTCATTTGTGTTGCCATATAAAATACCCTATTGTCCTCTGCAGGGGGGGCAGATCTGTTTTAGTGATAGGTATGGGCATTGCTTGGAAGAGGAGTCTGGGGAGAACGTTCATTTTGATTGTGTGGACCCTTCCTATCCAAGATATAGGTTTGTCTACCCATCTGTCAAGGTCGGCACTCAGGGTCCTGAGAAGGGGGGTGTAGTTAGCCCCGTACAGCTGTTTGGGGTCTGCGGTCAGTTGTATCCCTAGGTATTTTATGGTGTTTTGTGCTATAGGTATGCGGTGCTGGTTCCTTATGTGTGTCATGTCGTTTGTTGTCATGGCTATTGGTAGTGCAATGGATTTGGACAGATGACCTTATAGCCCGATAGGTTTCCATATGCTGTTCATTCTCGATCTAAGGCCTTCATTGAGTTCCCTGGGTTTGTGAGAGTGAGAAGGACATCGTCCGCATATCCTGATACTTTATATGTCTGGTAACCCACCGTGATTCCCTGTATAGATTGGTTCGATCTGATTGCTTGCATTAGGGGTTCTAGTGTGCGTACGAACAGGAGGGATGACAGTGGGCAGCCCTGTCGTGTGCCATTGTGTAGGGCGATAGCGGCTGTCGTGGCGCCCGGGATCCGGATGTGTGCCTTGACATCTGTGTACATGGCTTGGATCGTTTTAATGTACGTCTCGGGGAACCGGAGATGTCGTAAGAGTTCGAACAGGTATGTCCACTTTACTCTGTCAAACGCCTTTTCGGCGTCGAGCGTTGGGGTGCATGAGGTTGTCTTTGTCCATATTAAGTTGATGTTGCATCTAGTGTTTTCAAATAGCTGTCGTCCGGGAATGAAGCCCACCTGGTCTGCGTGGATTAGGTTTGTTAAGTGTGGAGGCAGTCTTTCCGCTAATATTTTGGCCAGTAGTTTAACGTCATGGTTGATCAGCGATATGGGTCTGTAATGTTCAGGGTATGTTGTGTCTTTCCCCGGTTTTGGTATTAGTACTATGTAGGCCGTAGACATTTCTGGGTCGGGATGTCCGCCTTGCATCAGGTGGTTGAACCACTTTAGTAGGTGAGGTATCAGCTCTTCTCTGTATGTTTTGTAATAGCTGCCCTCATATCCGTCGAGACCCGGGGCCTTTCATCCCTTAAGGCGGGAGATAGCTCTGTCTATTTCGTCCACTGTGAATTCATCCCCCAGGGTCTCTATTGCTGAAGGGGTTAGTTTGGGAGATCAATTTTGCTAAGGTGTTACCTGATATCTTCCCGTGTGTCTAGTGTTTTGTCGGCGTCAGTGGGGGTGTGATTGTATAGGGATTTATAGAGGGATTTATAGGTGAAGATTTGAGCTATATCCGCTGGTGCTGTTTTAGTCTGTCCTGTATGGTCCCTGACTGTTGTGATGTGTGTTTGTCTTGGTTGCGGGCACAGTGTGCGGGCCAGGAGCGTGTGCATTTTGTTGGCCTGTTCGTAGAATGTTCTCTTAGACCATGTCATAGCCTTCGCGACATCGTCTAACAGAATCTCTCTAATGTGGCGTCGGGTACTCTGTAGGGCTATGAGTCCGTCGGGTGTGGGGTTGGATATGTGTCTCTGTTCTTGAGTGTGTAAGTCGCGTAAAAGTGTTTTTAATTGTTGTGTTTTTAGTTTCTTTTTTCTGGTGGCTTCCCTGATGAGGGTACCTCTGATAACCGTTTTGTGAGCAGCCCATATGGTTGTGGGTGTCAGGTCCTGTGTGGTGTTTAGTTGGAAGTATTCTACAATCTCTCTGCGTATAGTCTCTTTAATGGATGGGTCCTGCAGTAGGGAGGTGTTTAGTTTCCAGTTCCACTGGGTCGTGGTACAGAGGTTGTCTAGTTCTAAGCTGATGTCTGCATGGTCAGACCATGTGATGCATCCTGCTGAGGACTTTGTGGTCTTTTGGATGGCTTGATCGTTTACTAAGAAGTAGTCAATGCGGGAGTAGCAGTCGTGGGGTGCGGAGTAGAATGTGTAGTCTACTTCTCCTGGGTGTTGGGCCTTCCACACATCTATCAGTCCCGTTGTCCAGATGAAGTCATGTATCAGTCTGTCTTGTCTCCCTCTGCTGTGTGAACATGGTAAGCCCCTTATGGTCCCCCCTGCAGCAGGGCATGGAGTGGTGTTAAAGTCGCCTCCCATTATAATCATGCCATGATGTAAAGCTTTCAGTTTGTCCGCTATTTGACCCCAGAAATCTCTGGATGGTTCATTAGGTGCATAAATGTTTAATGAGGTGAATGGTGTGAGCAAATAACGTCCCAGAAATTATGAGATATCGTCCGTCTGGATCTGGGTTGACCCCCATGACCCGTAGCGTACAACGTTTGTGTATTAGAATCGCTACTCCGTTGCGTTTGGAGTGTGATCTAGCCTCATAGCCCGTGCTGTATATGTGGTCTCTGAGGGATATCCCTAGGGTCTTAGGTAGGTGGGTTTCTTGTAGAAAGGCTATAATTGGGCCTAGTCTTTTAAGTTCTCTGTATAAGAGCCTATGCTTTTTAGGGGCATTTAGCCCCTTAACGTTTAGGGAACTGATGCGTGTGGACATAGTAGTGTCTGGAACACTTTTGTTTTTGCCCCCATTTTTCATGATCACTTCTCCTTTGCTGAGATAATCTATGGTCTTTTATCGTGGCCAACCTAAGGCAATAATCATGCTGTCTAATCAGCATCTTGATATACCACACCTGTGAGGTGGATGGATTATCTCGGCAAAGGAGAAGTGCTCACTAATACAGATTTAGACAGATTTGTGAACAATATTTGAGCGAAATAGGCCTTTTGTGTACATAGAAACAGTCTTTAGAGTTCAGCTCATGAAAAATAGGGGCAAAAACAAAAGTGTTGCATTTATAATTTTGTTTAGCGTAAAAGTAAATATACAACACAATTTTTAATGGTGCAATAAAATAAAGAGGAAGAAAGAAAAATGCACATAGTGCAACGAAATTGCTAGTAGCTCTAGATAGAACAACTCACATGTAGCAAAGCTGTTATCAGACTGTATATAAGGCGCCCAAGCGTGCCTGTTCAGGCTTAAGAATACCCCTTCACTTTTCAAGAGGCAGAAATTGAGGATGCAATATATATTCAAACATGTATTCACCTTAAAAATATTTGCTTTTTCAAAATTGAATTAGTGCTTAAAACAAGTAAAGAGGTAAGTACATACATAACAATAAATACTATCCCGTTCAAGCCATTTCTGATAAAAAAAAAATATTTACTGAAACGCATTTTAATTGAGCCATCTTCTTCAAAGTGCATATTATACAAATAATCCAGCAACCTTATACATGCTATTTCCCACGTTACAATACTTGTTCCGGTTTGAGTAAGTCCAGATTTAGAAAAATATTGAAACCATTCATATATTTTCCACAGAAAGTATACATTTATGTGATACAATATCATTTGCTTAGCATTTATCCAGTCTAGAATCTAGAAAGGATGCTGGTCTGAACCTGGTTATAACAAACAATGATGATCTTTTGACCAACATTCAAGTAGGGGAGCACTTGGGGAATAGTAATCACAATATGGCGTCTTTTGAAATAATCTCAAAAAAGCAAATGCACATGAGGTATACTCAAATACATAATTTTCAATAAGATAGGGGCAGCTTTACAACATTTTGACTGGCATAAACTTTAGTGCAAAAACACTGAGGAAAATCGAATATCTGCAAAGAAATATTCAATAGGTACATTTCTCAGTATGAATCATTGGGTAATAAATATAAAATAAACAAATTAAAACCAATGTGGCTTAGTTGGAAGGTAAACCAAGAGATTTAAAATAAGAAAAGGGCATTTAAAGCATTTAAATCAGACAATTTAGAGGCATCCTATATAAGATGTGTTAAAAAAGGAAATGAGAATGGCTAAGCAAGAAATTGAGAACATAATAGCCAAAGAAAGCAAAACCAACCCCCAAAAGTACATAAATTAAAAAAAGAAATAAAGAAATAAAAAAAAGAAAGAAAGAAAGTGTATGTACACTAAAAACAGCGATGGACGTGTTAGTTAATGAAGACCATAAAAAGGCAGATATTTTAAATAATTTTATTTTCTCAATATATGCGTAAGAGGATCCTTTGGTAAGAGATATACCTATGATTGCTGTAAAAAACTTGCAGACAAAGAATTGTGATTGGTTGACGCAAGACAAGGTGCTACAGCAGCTAAAGAAAGTTAATGTAAGCAAAGCTCCGGGTCTTGACGGTATTCAGCCACGAGTACTTAAGGAGCTAAGTGTGGAAATAAGTGAACCTTTGTATTTCATTTTTCAAGGGTATTTTTCTTTCAGAATTTGTACGGAGGATTGGAGGAAGGCAGATGTAGTTTCTATATTCAAAAAGGGTTCAAAATCTTTACCTGGAAATTATAGACCTGTGAGCTTAATTTCTGTGGCTGGGAAAGTATTTGAAGGGATAATATTTAGGAATTCATTGGTAGGAGCAGTGTTATTAGCAATAAGCAGCATGGTTTTATGAAACATAGCTCATGTCAAACTAAACTAATTGCATTCTACAAAGTAGTAATTAGAAGTAAAGATCAGAGTGTTGCAGTGTATGTGATCTACTTGGATTTTGCCAATTCAATCAGTTTCTCGCAATCAATCAGTGTTCTAACTAAAATAAATTGGTCTAAATGAAAATTCTTGTTTTAGGTAGAACATTTGCTTAAAAATAGAGTACAGAGAGTTGTCATTAATGGTACATTTTAGAGCTGGACAAAAGTGGTAAGTGGTGTCCCTCCGGGATCTGTTGTGGGTCCGCTTCTAATTAACGTATTTATAAATGATCTTAAAATAGACATTAAAAGCCATGTTTGCCACTCTGTAAAATAATAAAATGTGAGCAGGATATTGCTTTGCTGCAGAGGGATTTAGATAGATGGAGGGACAGGGCACTCAAATGACAGATGAAATGTAAGGTAGAGAAATGCAAAGTTAGCACTGCGTGATAAAGAATGCACAAGCAACTTACACCCTAAATGGTAGTGAATTAGGGATAACAGCACATGAGAAGGATTTAGGAATTGTTATAGATAACTAGGCAACAAGATGCAATATCAATCGGCAGTTGCTAAGGCCAGTAAGGTATCGTCATGTATAAATAGGGATATTATTTTAGGGAGGAAAATATAATTTTGCTTCTTTAAAAATCACTGGTTAGACCACACCTAGAATATGCTGTGCAATTTTGGGCACCTAAAGATGGATATTATAGCACTAGAAAAAGGGCAGAGGGAGGCTACAAAATTAATAAAAGTAATGGAACATTTTAGTTATGGATGCTTGATTCTCTGCCTGAAAAGGTGGTTTTATCTTTAAAGATGTCTAAACAGAAATTGGATAAATACCTGTAAAAACATAACACACAGGGATATCATTTTTAGTTAGTGGGATAATTGTCACGACACTCCTTAGTTAATATGCTCTCGTGCAGTACTCACACTCACCACTGTTTCTGTTTGGCACTGTTTCTAATTTTTTTCGTTAAGCACTGCACCTGGCCCTTGTTAAGCACCTATATGTTCTGGTTTCTCCCCTCACTCCCTGTCAGATCATTATCCTTTATCTTGTGTCTGCTGTTTCCTGGTTCCTGTTCCCATTCTCACTCCTTGCTCCTGTGTATCCTGTGTATCCTGATCCTGTGTTCCTGTTCCGATGTCCTTATGGTCCTGCGTTCTCGTCTCTGCCTGGTCCTGTGCCTCCCGTTCCAGTGTTCGCTTGCAGTGTTCCTGCCTATACTTCATTTCCAGTGATTCTGACCTTGCTGCCTTATTTACGTGTGACCTGCTTTGGGCTTTGCTCCTTGGTGTTTTTTATTTAGTGCTTGGTGGCTTAGGATCCGTGCCCCACTTATATTTTGTGGTGGCTGCACGATCCTGCCTAAGGACTTTACTTTTGCCTAAGGACTATCAAGTGTACTTTGTATCCGTGTCCCACCTATATTCTGTGGTGGCTGCACGATCCTGCCTTAACTATTTACATTTTGCATTAGGCCTATTTACGTGTACTCTGCCTGCTCTATTTGTATTTATATTGATTTCTTGTGTGTGTGTGTGTGTGTGTGTGTGTGTGTGTATATATGTATATATATATATATATATATATATATATATATATATATATATATATATATATATATATATATATATATATATATATATATATATTTATATATATATATATATATATATATATATAAATATATGGCATTGTACATATTTTGTATATTATATCCTTTGGTTTTCTTTAATACATCTTTTCTTGATTGCTCCATTCATCGTGTGCTTGCAATATTTCTCTGCGAAGTTGGTTCCTACATTTAAAGGGACAGAGCTGTCACAGGGCAGCTCCCCTTCATGTCCTTACAAAAATAGCTTTGTAATCCAATGGGACATCTGACTACTATTCTGGGGCCAAGAAGGATTTTCTTCCTAGTTTGTTGCACAATTGGAAGCACTTCAGACTGAGTTTTTCGCCTTAATTTGGATCAACAGCAAAAACAAATATGAGAAAGGCTGAGCTTGATGGACGCATGTCTCTTTTCAGCTACGTAACTATGTAAAATGTGTTTATGAAATTTGAAAGCAAAAAAGCTGTCAATAAGCCTTAAATTACTTTTTTTAAATCACTCTGAACTGTTAAAAGGCTTGTTGGGAGCTGAAAAGCCACTGTTATTACTTATGGACTGATATTAAATCAATCCCTACATTGGTTATGATCCTGCCAATTATGTAATAATCTGACAAATTGCCTTTTTGCAACATTTTGTAAGTATGGGCTGAACTAACAACTAATAGCGTCAATATACCACCCATACTCTTTTTATATAAGACAGTTGCTTTATATATGTTTAACAAGGTTCCCATTTTTTGGGAGGGAAATTGTCTCTATTTGCATCCATCCACATATTAATTGTGTCTGTGAGGATAAGGCCACTGATGGGTGTTCTGTCTTTAAGTCTTTAAGTATGGTGGCATACAAGCTTAACAACGAGTAGAGTGCATGTAACTGATGCACATTTTCTTGAGGCTTGGAATGCAATACTCATAAGGAAGAGGGATGCTTATATGATTAGCGCCTTTTTGGCATTTGTATAGGGTTTTTGGGGAGAGGGAGTCACAAGAAGCAGTTTTAATTTGGATTGTGCTTTTACTTTTATTTTCATATTTATTTTTACATGATATCTGCAGATATTTGTAGACTAAATGTTCTTGTACCAAAATTCTTGTATCTGCATATATAAAATATTTGTTTATACTGCACTATGTTTTCTGTTCTCTCTTATATCCATGCACCATGCTGATGTCAATTTGAAGTACAAGAAAAGAACTGTCTAGTGGATATACAGCTTGAGGATTAATACACCACTTTTTTATCATTCATTTGTGAGGGCAATCTATAACCTACTTTCTTAGAAGTGGTTTGTGATAGAATTATTCTATAAGCCATTGTGTGTCTTTTTGTCTGTAGTTTTTTCTGATTGTTTCGGTTTTGAAGTCTTGGGAGGAGTATTTTTACAGACTAAAAATAAAGAAAAAAATAGGTATTTGCTGAAGTGTTATGGTGTACACAATACTTTTACTAGGTGTCTTGGATTTTCTCCTCCTGACTGCCTGGCTATAAATGTTCCACAAGATAGTATATCATTTCAAAATAATTGTAATATTTTCTAGTATTTCTTACTGCTTTCTGAGAAGCCTATTAGGCATAAGTTATTTATTGGTCACTTGATTCCTATTACATGACGACAACATGTAAAACATTTCTTTGTATATTGTCGCCTTTCGCTGGGGTTGCCAAGAGTACATTAGGCACATAAGAAGACTGAACAATCCCCGTGCTGAACATGGTAGGATAGCCCATTATTATTATTATACAGTAACTATATGTACTAAAATAGGAGACCAACCCCTGTTTAAACATAGATAATATAATAAATACTATTTCTAAAATGCAGGTCTGCCAGCAGAAATCTTGGAGCCTCTTTTTCATAACCACTAGCCAGGGCACCCCATGCCTAACTTCTTCTCCCACAGGACTCTCATAGTAATATATACCCCTTGCAAGAACCCCTTCCACCCTCTTAAGTGTAGGGCCCACTTGTTTCCCCCAACATTAACCATCACTGCCAGACCTCCTTTTCACCCACAGTAAAATACCCCTTGCAGGCCCACGCTCCCATCCCAGTGCAGCTAAAATTCTCACTCAAGACTTTATTTACTTACCTGAGCTTGTCTCTATCTACCGTCCATATGTCTTCTTCAGCTCTTCGGAGTCTTTATTCTCGATAGGAAACATTGTGGACAGGACTATGTATTCACATGATTCACATCATCACGTGACCACAAATCTTGGCACACAGACTGCCAGTCTCTTCTTCAAGATACATCTCATCTGCACTAGTAGGCTAGTGCAGCAGACAGCGCAGTAGCCTGCTGAAAGAGGAGGGAGGGCATCTAATTAGTGACTAGAGTGTGGGCAGCACGATCAGGCCCCTTCCAGTCATATAAAATAACAATGCCCTAAGTGGCTACCATGCCACTTTGCTTGGACTGGTTAGCAGGGCTCCATATGTAGGTATGCCATATCCACCATGTTTCCAGGACATTTATACAAATTGATGGACAACTGCCTTGATGTATGAAAAATTCAAATTCTGCAGGTAGTAATTCAGTTGATAAATTAATCAGGAATCCTGCAGAATATACATGTGCTGCCAGGAAAACATGGTGGATATGGCAACCCAACCCATAAGCTACAGAATTGCTCAGTTATTGCTTAGGGCTAATAGAGCCTGTGTGCCCTTGAACAGATCAAGGGCTGTAACTCACCTGTTGGTCAGGGTCTGGAACCCTTGCATTTGTATGGGTTGTATTCCCCCTGGTGATAGCCATACATGCAGGCACACCCAATATACACTCTGCAGTCTCTTCCGCTACTGTCACTCTCACACACATACAACACTTGAGCACAGGACTTCAGGAGGGGTCACAATCGGGCATATTGCCTCTGACCCTGATCTCTCTTAATCTGGCTCTGCCTGCACCATCTCTCAGCCAACACGCCGGCACCTGATAGGGTAAACGTGCCCTGTTTGATGTAATCGATTGTGTTCTCCCTCCTTCAACTATTGTTTTACATAAGAGTTGAAATAATTTCCTCAACTCTATTGTGGAATCTGTTAAAAACCAAAGATAACCCAAAATATTCTTAACTAGTATAAATATATAAATATAAGATTTCCTGTGATAATAGCCATTGAAATATGTGTTAATAGCATTTCCAAGATGCAGTGCATTACACAAAATATTAGCTGATTTAAATATTGCTTCAGTGATTATTGGACTCTATTAACACTTCATGTTTCATAGGTTTGAACAAAAAGTATATTTTCACAGATAAATACAAATTTGGCATTTTACAATATAGTGGATCACTTCTTTATACAAAATGTAAAATGAAAAAGCTCAGAAGATATATTTGTTTCCCTGTCCCAGAAAACAGACCTCCTGAGATGAAACACATAAAAGGATAAATTGCATCCTCTTCTTAGGAACAGCTTATTTTAACATTTCAATACTACATGGCAGCTGCTTTGAAAACCATGTGACCGGGTGCAATGAAAATTCACTAAAG